ATATGTCAAACAGTTCAAACAGCTTCTTCTGAAGAATTAAAAGGCATAAAATTATAATATTTGGCTGGTGACTTCCCGGGATAGAGCTCACCAAAGTTTGCAAATGAAAATGACCTCAACCTACTTTAGAGGTCACAGAGGTCAACAACATTTTAATGGATTTGTTCTTGAGAACTAAAAGGAATGGATTCATAAGATTTGGCTGGTAGCTTTTTGGAATAGAGCTAACCAATTTGAGAAGGAAAATGACATTGACCTACTTACAAGATCACAGGGAAAAATATGTCAGCAACTTCTGAAGAAGAATAAAAAAGCATAGAATCTTATAATAATATTTTGCTGGTAGTTTCAACAGATGGAGCCAACAAAGTTTGCGAGGGAAATATTTTTAGTGCAATAAAATATTTAATGAGAATATTTTGCTATGACTGCTTAAATATTCAGGTGAGCGATACAGGCCCTCTTGGGCCTCTTGTTATTATCTCATATGATTTATGTTTCCAAACTAGGCAGTTTACTAATTACAGTCTATCATTTCTATTAAATGTTATTTATTTTATGATTTTCATTATTATTTTTTGTAGAATGTTTGTTTCATTTCATCTTATCTTCTGTCAGTCTTTATGTGGAAAATAATTCAGTTTATTTTCTGTACATATAGCTGTATATAGATGGTGCATGCTGATTTGTTTCTATAAGCTATAGATTAGATAGATATCCTTCTTATATAAATATATTCACTACAGGGTGACAGTGTGTAAGGTCACCCTGAAGATATTTTATTCACTCTTTCACAGAATTAATTCTCTTGTAAAAGTAAATCCAAAATCTTCCTATGTACAATGTTTTTATAAAAATCAGCTGGAGAACTGAAATATTTTTCAATGTTTCCATTGAAGATGAATTGAATTTGCACTCCCAATTCATGGGCTGGCTAGCCTTACAGAGTAATAAAGGTGTCTACATTTTAATTGCTGGCATATTACTTGTGTCTTGATATAATTATAATTCATTGTCTAAAACAAACTCTGTCCTATCTGAATATTTTTGTCTAAGCTAGGCAAAGAACTTGGTTTAGACATAATATTATATATTATTATATATATATATAACAGATAGACTTGATATAGTCCAGAACTCTATGTTATCCTGCCAAAAGGTCCCAGGGGGTCTAGTTAAGACAGAGTACACTGTATCGTTTTTGATGTCATGAACAGTCTGTACATTTCATGGAAAAAATTGTTATGAATCTTCACTGAAGAAAAGACCACATAATTGGTCAGAGAATTGTTATAAAAATAAATCAAATTGCAAATCAAAACAAGGCATATAGATTGAGAATCCTTATTTAGGATAAATTAAGGCAATCAGTCAGTGATTTACTTGAAAGTTAAGGGTATATGTGAACTTACGCTTCATATCTAAATTTTGTTTTAGAGTTATCTCCCTTTTTAATAACGATTCATTTGTAAGTGGGAATTACCGTTGTCGTAATGCATGCATTCCAGTATAACTTTCCATTTTTTTATCAATTGATTTATCATCATAAAAAGAAGCTTACAGGTATCTTAATACTGAACTCTTTTGTCATAAAAAGGTAGCATGTATCCTTTAGGAAGATTTTTTTTAATATTTTTTTTATCTGTTATGTTGATGATCTCATTAAGACACAGGAAATGCTTTTGATGATCAGTTTTGTATTATTTGTATTTATATTAAAATCCTTTTCTTTGTTATCGTTTAACAGTACTCCGGAGTCACCGTGCAGCCTCCCTGGGTCAATAGGCAAGACAGAACAAAATGGAAATGCTTCCCTCGGGCAGCAAACCTTTAACCCAATACATAACTCACATTCCTGTTTCATCAATGGTAAGAAGACGAGTGTCCAGAGTAATCGCGACAGTATGGGCAACAGTAGCCTCCCCTTAGTGGATGATGACATTTCTGAAAGTGCTCAAGTGATACGGAGTCACTCAGAGGCCAGTCTGCTGAAACACAGAGTGAACCGGATCTCGCAGGATGCGCAAAGTATCACCAGTACAGATTCGGGAAGTGTCCTTGAGAATGGCAAGGTCAAGTCGAAAAAAAGCAAGATTTTTAAATCGATATTCCGCGGTGGTAAATCGAAACTTAAGTCTTCGGATAGATAATCGACAACAATTTGTTTTCTGTTAATTTAAATTTAAAGAATATTCACAAAACCATATTTATCATTGTTGGAGAAAGCTGAGATTCTGTGATAGGGGTTAGAATTGTTTAAGTTTGCAAGAAACCAGTATTGAGAAAATTTCGAAAGTCATGACACTGATTTGCACTTGATTGAGATGAACATGGAGTAGGCAAAGTGTTGGCCTGGACGTTGAAGCTTTATGTAAATAAAAATCAAGAATGGTTTACTTTCTTCCCTTACATTGGATTGGCCATGTGACATTTTTTTTTTTTTTTTTAATCGTAACCTTGAAGAATTTCATTTTATTTTGATGTGCTTTTAAGTTTAAACATTTTGTAATATCACATTCTATTACTGTTGTATGTTTTCGGTTAGATTATTTCAGTTGTTTTGGTGTTCTCACAGTTCGTTTAACAAGTTTAGTAGCCTGCCTGTGTTGTTGTTTGTGTCGGACTTCCAGTGGAACCATGTTGATCAAAATGATAATTAGAATGATTCGTTTTACAGACTCTTTAGGTCACTTACATTTTCCATGATATGTATTTTCATGTTTAATTGTGGGAGATCCCAATCAGCCCATTGAGTTCTATAAGTTTGCATTAAATGAAGGGATGAGGAAATGAAATTTTGTGTTTTTGTATTAGATGGTGCAGGAAACCTGATTAATTTAAATCCCCTGGAATAATTTTTTTGAAGATCAATTCGGAAAAATAATCTTCACAAAAATTATAAATTGATTTACAGTTTATCAGAAACTAGTTTTATCAGTTTCTGTGTCATCAATCTGAAAAGTTTGTTGAGAATGAGTTTTTTGGGTGTTTTTTTTTATGACAAAAGTGTTTGTACTAATTAGCAAGGTTTCACTGTACATCCTGTAGAGTCTAATTTCCAGATTGCTAGAAATCAGATTAAATTGTTACTTTTTAAATAAAGTTATCTTTTGATTATTATCGTATATCATCTTGAAATGTACATTACTTTCGCATCCAATGCAATCAGGTTTATAAATATTCTGCACTTCATTCGAGATGTTGTGAATTTCTGTATAAAGTCATTTGTCGATACATGTAGTTCATCTTGCCATCGTTATATTCCAAGTGCTTATTTTCATGTCAAGAAATCTTTATTAACCATCTGATCAATCTGGACTCCCATCAACATATCATCAAAAGTCAATTATCAGAATTTTGATTTTACAGGTACTGTAAACTTTTCACAAAAAAGTCATATTTTTAAGATTATTTCAAATGATTTCATGAAAGTGAAGTTATGAAAGAGACCAGTATAGGATTCATATATGCCTCTTGTTTAAATATGTATTTTTACAATTTTTTGAATTTCCTCGCAAAAATTACGTAAATGATGAATGTTTTCATATAAAGTGAATATATAAATTCCATAATAATCCTTACAACACTAACTATAGGTTATTTTGTGTAAAGTTGGTAATTTTAGTTTTGTAATATTACTTATAAGTTATTTTGACAATTCTCTGAATTCTTTGATTATATAAATTTCCTGTGGAAGAGAAGAGCTTTTCCGAAGGTGGACATGATATGGTGCATATAAGCTCAGCATTGAGATTGGACGGCTGAACCTTAGCCATACTTTGTACAACGAGTAGATTGGATGGTAAAAATATTTTGTTTTCTTTATAGAAACATTTCCCTGTACAAATTGTTTATACACGTTTACCTTTGTTATAAAAGCATTTAAGATGTTGATTGGTTTATGTTCAATTCAATTCTCATTATGATTGAAATGGCAAGAAATACACTTACAAATGTACTGGTACTACAGATTTTTATTGTGTAGTTTCAAAATCAGTGGTGTTTTCTACTTTAACTGAATATGAATTAAAGTAAAGTTTGTTAAAATGCATTTACAGAAATTGTATCTAAATTATTAAGGGCTTTTTCATTGGGTATGGAAAAAAAGGGGAAACATATATACTATTTTTTTAAATAACCATATCTGTTTATTTCATGAAAGATTTTATTTTGTTGAGTAATGCAACATGCTCAAAAAATGTGCTTTTCTCTTGTGTTTAAAATAAAACCTATCTGTCTGTTATGTAGAATTTTTTTCAATAATTTTTTTTAAGAAACTGTCTTTGTAGAATTTAAAAAAGTTATTATTTGAGAACTCCATCTGTATATCAACTCCTGTCACGCTGGGACCAGATGACAACCTTAGTTTGGATTGAAATATTGTGGTACATGTATTAAGAGAGTGAGAAGGGGGAGAGAACGTTATAGTCATCTCTTAAAACAGTCCTTTTAACACATTCACCCCTGAAGACACATTTGAACTCTTCCAATTCAAAGGTTGGAATAGTTCATTATGAAATTTCAGGGGTGAATGAGTAAAGAGGCTTCTTGTGTTATACCTAACCAAACAATAGTTCTGGTATGGAGAATGATGTTGCACATTCTGTAATGCATTTTCCATATAAATCAACCTTATGACGTCCCTCTTCAGTGATCTTTTGACTCGGCCATCGCAAGCGATAACTTTCTGTGTGATATTAGCTGTATCATAAAATATTTATCGTAGAATTAACCCGAATAATTTATTAACTTTGTTGACGTAGGAAAGACAAAGTCACGAAGGTGTGATGTACCATTGGAGTATATCGTGGAATTATTCAAAGTAAATCGCTGGGAAAACATAACCACTCTCTGTTGTAATTCAGGTATTGTACGTGATCATGATTTCTTTATCAAAATGTTAAATTACAATTTGGGTACTTTAACAAAATAACCACATATACTATAATTTACTGAAGTGGAATTTTATTTCATTTTAATATTTGTTAACCACTGCAGTGATTCAGCCTAAACTATTTAACATGTCGACAATTTTGTTCTTTCGCTTGTTATGAAACATTGTCAGTTTCTATTCTCTGTAACAATTTCTATCACAATTGCCACTCTCATCTAGACTCAAGTTCAAATCTATCTCCTTTTTTTAAATAGTTTTTGTTATCGATGTCAAGCTGTAGTTTTTATACCAGTGGTGATTTAGATTCTCATGTTCCGTATTCTAGAAATTCCAGGGGGATGCTCTTTTTCTTTCTCTGCATGCCTGAAATATTTCCTGATGAAATTGAAGGCTCTGTATGCACAATCTTGTGGATGTATATAACTATACCAGTTTGATACCTTGATGTACATAAAAAAAATCATGCAGCAACATAATGGTAAAATTGACCGGCTTTGAAGTCAGATGTTGCTCCTCTGTAATCTAGAAAGGACAGGTATCAGCCTAGTTATTGGTCATTTTTTCATGTGACACCAGTCAAATAGCCAAGAACTCGCCTTTGATTTTGTCATGACATATTCCTGGGGTGCAGAGAACACAAATACGTATAACTCCTGGAATGTTGAAGAATCTTGTTGTGATGAAGTGTTTTTCTATGTTGGATTATAACCTTTACTCTTTGTTCGTGACCTTGTAACTCTGTAGCGAAGGTCACCAAGATGAATCTCCTCAAAACAGTGCAATCAATGTTTCATATCCAAGAAAATAGTCAACATGAGAATAGAAATGCTAATGGTACAAATAATCTAAAATTGCACCTCAAAATATATTTGTTAGATTTAAAATAATGCTTATGGTGCTGATTAGTTTTAATTTGGATTCAGTAACATTTAAAATAAATATAATATTTAATGCTGTATCTAGCAAGGCATATAAAAATGTGTATACTTAAAATATCTTTGTTTCTTTCTTTTTCATCAAATTGTTGGCCGTTTGTCAATCATTTTGACACATGAATTCTTCATCTTTGTTCTTTCAGAAAGATCGCACGGGCATTTAACATTGTTAGTACAAAAGATTTTGTGTTTGACCTATTTGTTAACTTGTCATGATAATATGTAATAATTCCATTCTTGCATTTTCATTTTATTTTTCATTTTTTCATTTAAGATAATTTTTTGTTTAATTCCTTCACCTCTGAAGACACTTTTCATTTTTTCCAATTCAAAGGTTGGAATAGTTCATTATGCCATGGAGTAGGGCACTGATATGTAGATATAGCACCTTTCTATGTCACCTGTGATTGCGTCTGTATCGTCTCACCTGTAAACTTCGATTAGGTCACCACAACATATTCACAAAGTATTTCATCATTACTGTACATAGTGCAGTATCATTGTTCAAGATTTGTTTAAATTTCATTCTGTTTAAATAACAGAAAAGGATTTTGTTCTGCTCTCTGTTGCATTATTTACTTTTTTCATGTTAAAATTATCATTTGTAAATAAATTGAAAAAATAAAAACATTTTTTTCATGACGAAATCAGTGAACAAGGAATTTATAAAATAGACAATAGTATAGTTTTGTTTTCTATCTACAAATCTTTTGTATTTGTGTGTGAGCTTTAATTGAAAGTCTAGTCCAGCTTCTCGTAATTAAATAGTTTCTTTATAGATATATAGTCAGCTAACAATTTGGGTCCTCACAATTGCAGAGTGTATAACAATTGCAGAAAATTTTATTTTGAAATATTAAATTGTAAAAAAAAATAACAGTTTATTTTTCTCTTTTATTTTGCGAATTTCGTAAGATTTTTGAAGTAATTTGATAATATTGAATGTTTCAATTCAATCAATTTATTAATAGCAGTTATGATTATTAGCTAGCTCTTTTGTGTTTTATATTGGCAATATCTGTGCATTATATTTTTCTGCAATAGTAAAATATGTGGTCTGTCACTAATAATTATTATTAATGTGCTTTTGTTTTGTCATAAGATATCTTATTTTTTGAAACATTTTCCACATATCAATTTGATTCCCTGAAGTTGTACATTCCCCGTCAGGTAAATGAGTTATCTCCCTTTGCAAAGAAATATGTGATATTCTGAAAGTTATCTCCCTTCGTGATATGCTCAAAGTTATCTCCATATGTAACATTCTCGAAGCTATCTCCCGTTGAATGTTATTTGTATCATAAATGAACATGCTAGGGTACTATCTGCTTGATTAAACAAATATAAAATAATTCTAGAATCTGATTTCAAAATACTTTCCACATTTTTCATCACAAATTCCCATTTATAATCATTAATATCTAAATGCACAGACTGATTTTCCCATTTATATTGTACTCTGCCAACCAAGTTTATGAATATTAATAAAATTATTTTATGTGAAAAAAATTATTCCACATATTGTGTACTTGATTATATCTATATAACAATAAGTCTGTATGATATATATTGTTTCCTTTGATTCAATCTGTTGATAAGTTCAAGGGCTTCTAATCAATTATGCAAAGAAATAGCTTGTGCTTATTCAATATTAGGATTGATTTGGAGGTTCCTGGATGGGTAAGAGTGTACCAATTCTATCGTTAATGCTATTTATTAATTATTCAGAAACATTTGAAATTGTTGCTGTAAATAAAACAGGGAAATGCGTTTGAAAAGTTTTATGTGGGTTTTTTTATGAGAATAATATGTATTACAGTAAATTGCCTTCATTTTGGATCAAATAAGTTACGAATTTCAAATATTCGTCCGTCCTTTAGCAATTCTTGTTAGTGCTTTTTCTCAGAAAGTACCCAAGGGATCATTCTCAAATTTCACACGAGGTTCCCAATGATCCCTAGTTATGCATATCAAATTTTGGAACTGATCACTAAACCAAGATGGCCAACAGGCAGCCATAGTGAACTTGCGGGTTGAAGTTCGTTAGCTCTATTTATAAGAACTTTCGAGAGAGATCTTGCTCAAATTTCACATGAAGGTTCCCCTTGGTTCTGGGTTATGCATAACCAAGACAGGCAAGCAATTTGTTACTGTCAAGAGTTTGTTATTGCTATTTATTAGAAAGTGTGCGAGGAATCTTCTGTAAAATTTACATAAAGGTTCCCCATGGTCCGTTGTTATGCATATCCAATTTCGGCCTGATCAGAAAACCAAGATGGCCAATAGGCCCCATCTTGATATTTTAGAGTTAACATTTGTTAGTTCTATTTTTCAGAAATTACTTGAGGGATCTTTCTCAAATTTTATGTGTAGGTTCCCTCTCATTGGTCCTTAATGGTACATGTTAACTTTGAGCAAGCACTTAGATAGCAAATCTAATTCCGTGCTTTGAGACTGACCAGAGGAACAAGATGGCTGCCAGGCAAACTGATCAAACAGATAAGAGAAAAGATGGAACTGCAGACAGAACTAATGAAGATGGTACGGTGGTGGGCATCAATATCCCTCTTGGATCTTTTGTTTGATAAAAATATCGTAAAGCTTAAATACACAAGATATAATTTAAACAACATTGAAACCCTTGATTTGTATACTGTCTCTCTGGTCAATGGAAGAGTCCTGGCCAAATCGACGTAAAATTGTATCAAAACCAAATTAATGGAAAGTGAATGTTTGAAAACCCACAGTGGAATTATCTAGTGATACCTGCAGTTGGTCATGGATCCTTATGGTCTGAATATATTTTTGCCAAATAAACATTTTTACTAGACTAAATTATACATCTGATGAAATATATTCGTTAACTTCAAACACTTCTTATATCTATTGTTTACTTAAAATATGTATTTCATATAACTCTTCATGTTTGGAGGAATAAAGATATGAATGAATGAATGAATGCCTGTATTCAAAGTTAACTTGTTTTGAAGTTGTCGCTCATTGCAGGTGGTCTCTTAACACAGGCTCAGTTCAGCAAAAAATAGCAAAGGTTTCTAGAGGAAATGAAAACAAAGACTTTTGAAAGTGGTCTCTTAAAAAAGAAACAGCCTCTTGGGCAGTTTTGATTATGTTCATCTTAATCTCCAAAGATCATATCTTGACACGATATTACACATGCAAATATAGGGTACAGCGCTTATTGTATTGCATACATGTATATATCTATTATATGGTATGAGACCTGCTTCGGTACTACGGTCCGATTGACACCGCATTGATCGATCACATTAAACCGCCCTTCCGATTGCAAATCGTGTCTCTCGGACCATATACGTATATTATATATGAAAACAACATAAGAAGTAAGAACTTAACCATAATTCGAACTCAAAACAGAAAAGATTTTTACAAATATGAACAAATGAAAGTGTTACATGGAGACTCTTGAAAAAGTACAAACAGAAAAGGATCAGATGTCCGGAAGGGAAGACATCTTCTGCTTCATCGACGACATCCGTCATGTTCAATAGGTCAGATCCAAATGATGTTGGATAAGGAGTATAATAAGCTGTTTGGGCAAAAATCTAATTAAAATCAGATCTCCCATTACACTCCATAACGTAGTGTAATGAGAGATCTGGTTTTAATTAGATTGCTGATTGGGGCGCCTTTTTAGTGGGAAACTGGTTCCAAGCAAGTGTAATTTTATGTACCAAGGGAAGCAACTCGTATATATGAGTCGGAAACTTGGCAACACATTTTATCTATAAAGGGAAGCAACTCGTATGACCTTATACACATTCGCCACCAAGCAACTTGTTTGAACGATACAATTTAAAAATATGAGGTTTTTTCTCTGCTTAAAACTGATATGTAGGATATCGCACTACATGATATTTTTATCCGAGTTCTATCAATATGGTCGAACAAAATAGAATATATGCATGAAAAACGCTCAACTCGTGTTAGAGCTTCCTGTCTGTAGGTACTCGATGCTATTCCAACTATATTGATATGCCTTCGATTTCCTGGAAGCTTATATTACCTATCATCCGGCCTGATCTAGCAGCTTGATAGTTGTGTAAGTTAAATTTTCAAAATTTGTCTAGTAATATGAGAAATTTAATGTGTATAAATATTACTTTAATTATTTCCGGGTGTTATTTTCCCCTTTCTTTATTAGCAACATTCCAGTTTCACTAACGTTGATTTATAAGGTAATGGAACTGGACTAGGTCGATCTTCTGCGACCAGGTAGCTCAATTGGTACAACGTCCGTCTAGAGTTCGGAGGGTCCCGGGTTCGAATCCCAGTCTTGCCGTTGCATTTCTCTCTCTCCTGTTTCAAAATTGGCGACCTTGCCAACCCTTGTTTCAAGTACTTGGTGAGTGCTTGCCAAGGGGGTACCAGAACATTGGCTGTACATAGTGGTGTTATCGGGGATGACGAGTAAGAAAAAGTTCGATGTAGCGAAACTGGACTGGGTCGATCGTCGGCGAAACTAGATAACTCATTCGGTCAAGCGCCCGTGTACAGTTCGGAGGGTACCGGGTTCGAATCCCAGTCTGGCCGTTGCATTTCTCTATCCCCTGTTACAATATAATTAGATGCCACAATTGCTCCACTTCTGCAGACTTATTCTGAGTACAAGGAATTTCTGGATAAAAACGCTGTTTTGATCTACATTGTATCTACACTACATTGATTAACGGAACCTCGCAGTTGGTATTGCAGAAACGCTTTCCTTTTTATTTTGGTTTGGTGTCTGTTTTCTGTTTTTATTTTCACCGACTAATGATGTTATCCGTGTGTTTTGACAACACAGTACTTCTACTTCAAAACTGAGTTATAATTTTGACCTGTTCTTGTTTATTAACGATGTGGTAAAAATCTTTAAATTTAAGAGTACTGGTTTTGAATGAAAAGACAGGAATATAGTACAGTTTTAATGATTATATCACTCATTTGAAATTTTATTTTAATGTGTAATTTAACTAATGAAAATTAAAACGACTAGGTCCTTGGCTGTAATTAGTCTCGAGATGTCGGGACCACACATACAGGTATGAACTTATCTCTGAATCCCGCGAGTACATTGTATGTCATGCTTCCATTGGTCAATTCAATTACGTAGACAGGGTAGACATTTATGACGTCATCGCTTATGAGATTCCAGTCATGGTCTGTTATCAAGCAGTCTCGGGTCATTGATGAGCGACAGAATGTACTTTTTTTTAATTGAGAATTAAAAACAACCAGTTTGTATAGTTTCCACTTGATATGTGTTCGAGGAGAAGAAGTACATAATTATAAATCATAACCGTCAATTTTCAACCCGTACTTCAAATTTCTCATATGCTGCTTTTGGGGTTTGCAAGGTTACATATATTGTATTCCAGGTTATAAATACTGTTTACAATGTTATATATACTACATCATTATATACCTATTTATATAAACTGTAAACAGGTTCTTATATATACTGTATATAGGTTTATATAAACTGTATACAGCTTTATATATACTGTATAAAGGTTTGTATATACTGTACAAAGGTTTATATATACTGTATTAAGGTTTTTATATACTGTATAAAGATTTATATATACTGCATAAAGGTTTATATATAATGTATAAAGGTTTATATAAACTGTTTAAAGGTTTATATATATTGTACAAAGCTTTATAATACTGTATACAGGTTTATATATATTGTACAAAGCTTTATATATACTGTATACAGGTTTATATATACTGTATAAAGGTTTATATATACTGTATACAGGTTTATATATATTGTACAAAGCTCTATATATACTGTATACAGGTTTACATATACTGTATAAAGGTTTATATATACTGTATAAAGGTTTATATATACTGCATAAAGGTTTATATATAATGTATAAAGGTTTATAATACTGTATACAGGTTTATGTATATTGTACAAAGCTTTATATATACTGTATACAGGTTTATATATACTGTATAAAGGTTTATATATACTGTATAAAGCTTTATATATACTGTATAAATGTTTATATATACTGTATAAAGCTTTATATATACTGTATAAAGCTTTATATAAACTGTATAAAGGTTTATATAAACTGTATAAAAGTTTACATAAAATGTATAAAGGTTTATATATACTGCATAAAGGTTTATATATAATGTATAAAGGTTTACATATACTGTATATAGGTATATATATACCGTATAAAGGTTTATATAAACTGTATATAGGTTTATATAAACTGTATAAAGGTTTATATAAACTGTATAAATAATTCTATCTACTGTATAAAGAATTCTATCTACTGTATAAAATGTTAAAAACCTTTATACTGCTTTACATGGTAATCTGCATTGTCATGATACAGGTTTATACATTATTATACTGTATACAAAGTCATATATACTGCATCAGTTTATACACATTTACAAATATGTTGTATACCGGTGACATGTGCTTGTAACTAAAGGAAGAAATTTGAAGGGATAGAGTCCAAGTTTCAGTTCATGCAGTCAGTGTTGAAGTCATTTCTTGTTGCTGTTTTGGGGGACAAGTCATAATGTTCGATATTAATCAAGTTTATGTGGTTCTAGTAAGACAAAAAGAAGACAACAATTATTTGTTTTATTTGATTTTTTAATATTCATTGTCTCCATGTCTAAAGACAACTGATAAATAAGACAAGCCATCCTTTATATTGCAATAGTGAGTCGGTCTCAACAGAACAAAAGGATGAAACCATCAATACTTACAGACATTTCCAAGGATCTCCAAAATGCCTTTTTGAATAATAGTTGTATAAAATATCCATCTCTACAGCACTTTTGAGAATGTTTATACATAATAATATCAAAACATGACTTCATTTTCGCTAGCCAAGGTCACGTGATCCAAAAGAGCTCTCGCTCTCTTGAGATTCAAGGATGGCGTGACTTGACTGACAAAGAATATCGTACTTGACACACGATCAGCCATGGTTAAACTTTGCTACAACGTATCGAACCAAATTCAAATTAGAACTTCCGATTTTTTCAAGATGATTTAATGTTGGCTAAATCACTTGTTGAATATATTGTGTAAATTTAAAATATTTCTAAGATTATGTAAAACTATTTCAAGACCATATCTCAGAAAGAAGAACACATTTCTTTTTCTCACAATAACAATGAGTTTGTTTAAAATTTTAGAAACATAGCTTGCAAAATCAAAAGATACAGGTATTGATACTTTATATATATCAATTCAAATAAAATTCAATTGAAATTAAAACATAATAATGTTGATGTTTTAAAGCTCGCGTCATGGTGATATCAAGGTTTTCTTTCAACTAGTTTTAATTACATTTTAAATGTCAATTTCATGCAAATTACACTATTATTCAGACAACAAAAAACTAGTCATTCTTCATGTATAAAATTTGAAAATTTAAATAAGTAGAATCCCATCAGTAACGTTTAATATCAATTGGAACAGACAATACAAAAAAAATGTTTTGCATGAATTATATAAAATCGTAAGAAATTATCATCTAGATAAAATACATACCAACACATTGACTCATTTCTCCAGTAAAACAAAAAAGTAAATTTCAGTTTCACTTTATTGACTCATTCCTTTAGTAAAAACGTAGTTCTGAATTTGAACTGGTTTCGACACATAGCAGCCTAGTATGTAGACGCTAAGATTGTCGGTCATGGCTTGCCGTGTCACAGACCCAGTGTGGCAGGTACCTGGACCATGATTGTGCATGCTTTGTTGAGTCGAATAGCAGTGATATAACAGTCCCTATACATAGAATATCTCCCGTCACAATATTGCACAGATACATGGATAAAAATAGTCATCTTTGTGACGGAATTCTGCATTGAAATATCAATAAGCAAGCTCTTCTTTCTCCCTTCCGTCTGCCACAACCGCTTTTTCTACTTTTCTATCCGTCAATTAAAACCGAACTTGGTTAAATAATTAGTGTGATAGTGATGAAAAATGTCACAATGTCTTTTTGCTTAAAAATTCACATCTTGGGATGAAACGTTGCAATGAGTTGTCCCGGTTGTATTGCGATAAGCATGTTTAACAGGCGATGGTCTCCAAGTAATACACAGAGAAAACACACATTGATAGCATTATGCTCCAGTGTAAAATAACTTTTAAAATCAACGAATTATCTATCAAATAATATATAATTATGAATAATAAATAGCACACAAGTCGACATACTCCATTTTCACACAAGTGTCTCTTTCTCATATGAATCGTCCGCATTCTCCGCCGCCATTATTTCCCATTGCCGCCATTTTTCTCTCTCCCACGCAGACAGACCTTTCGGCGGCGTTTCTCTAACGTTATATCCGTGCCCACTTAACATTCCAAGAGGTCTCTGCTGCGAGGACGACACCTTCCGGAAGGACTTGGGAGAGTTTGAACCCGATACTGGGGGCGTGGGTAGCAACCACTGATTTGACGAGTCTGACCCCACGGGACTGTTCGTAGATGAGGTATTGACGTAACTCCCTATGCTATTCGTACTATTCTGTCGCGCGTAATCCGGCTTTGGAATGGCAAGGCTATTGCTAAGGTTTTCTGAATGTGGTCGCTCTAGATGTGACGGTCTTTCCACGTACTCAGAACGAGGCCGCCTGAGTATCACTTCCGGGCTTGCGCTGTCCGACACTTTCACTTTCGGTACTCGCGAGCTGCTTGCTTTCGGTGTTCGTTGCGGTCTAGGACTCGGGCTCCTATCGAACCGTAATCTAAACCGGCGTCGCTCTCTTTCTGCGTTTTCACTACTAGTTTTATCATTGTCGTTGTTGGAAAAGAAGAATCTCCGCCTCGTTCTCGGAGACATATTCTCGGCACTTTGTGATGTCCTTAATGGCGGGTGCAATCCTGGCAGTCTCTGAGACGAGTTAAGGATATCGGCCTCACTGCAGGGTGAATGTGGTATCGACTCTGTGTCGTCAAATAAACTACTGGAGGTTGTGTCTGGGTCAGCGTCAACACTGCAACAAACAAAATATTAAAAAAAATGTAAAACGGATACAAGTTCATGGATTGGGAAGTATTACAAGCATTTAACAAGTTCATGGATCATATTTTATCATTTTTTTCAACATTTTGTCAACAAAAGCATATTGAAACGACTTTTTCCAAGGAATTTTACTAAGCGCGATATATAGGCACTTACCCTGCGTCGTTGGCGAGCTTCTGAAATATGCGATCCGCTACTTCCGGATCCGACTCCACTAGCTGTCGAAGGACCTCGTCGTACAGACCGGAAGATACCTGAAACAGTGTCAAATCAACCATATAAACACTGATGGCACACTAAGACCTGTGTCATACTCTCTTGAAAAAGAAAAACATGTTTAAATTAAGGTATCATATACCCTTAATAGTCTTTGAGACTTCCGAGGGGACAACTCACTGAAACATCAGTCTTCAGGTTCACTACATCAATTGCAGAATTTAAGGACAATCTCTAAGCGAGGGGAAAATGCAAGTTTCGAATATTCTTTTTAACATAAAACTATACTTTTATTTGAATCTAATTTGACAATAACTTTTCTTTGTTTCTGTTAATGGTTTTACGTCCTCGCAAAAGAAAGGCTATATGCCAAGGGAGACAATGCAAAAATGAAAGAGTATGTAAAACAGAAAAAAAAACCGATAGAATGATCTATTGTTGTAATGGGGCAGTAGACGTATTTCGGTTTCTTCAACACCCAGGGCCCGTAATCATGCAACCGTTCTCACGCTCAATCTCAGGTTCTGTGCGCAAGCCCAATATCTTGTTCCGGCGATAACTTAATAAACAAGCACATGTTGTCAATAATTTAGAAGAATTCTGGACACAGTTTAAGCCTTGTACCACTTTAAATGTTGACACTTGACTGTTATGACGTGCTAAATGATTTAAGAGCGTTTCAAGAAAGTTTGTTTGAGCACAGAATCCAGAATAGAGCACGAGAACGGTTTCATGAATACGAGCCCTGACTCTACAGGGGACTTATCATTAGCCTTGTTGGTACATGCAGTGTGATATTGCAAGTCAGTTTCCCATCCCCGAAACCTGCAAGGTCGACGGGGAAGGGGAGGAGGAGGAATGATCTTGCAATATTGAAAGTAGCAAAGAGTTGCTAGATATGAACACTGAATAAGACAAGAGAAATTCCAAAAATAGGTACTGACCATAAATACAGACGCGTAGTTGTCGACCATCTCCTTGACCACATCGATAACCTCCTTGCGCTCCTCCGCACGTTCTATACTCTCCACCAGGAACTCTTTTTCCGATGGCTTGCACTTGTGGAGGATGTTCGGCCCAAACAGCGTCGCCAGATTGTGTGAATCCATCTTGTTTCCCGGCAACTACAATGTTAGATCATTCCAAATAAGAACAGGGTGACAACATACCAACACGGAGCAGCACGTAGTAACACCATATATTGGCATATTAAAAATGCACGTGTCGCTTAATACAAACATTGTGTAACTATTTCGTAAAACCAAAGATGAATGAATTAGTTACGGGTAGCTTATCTAGATTTGGTGCAGCGAACTTTCTGTTTGTTTTTCGTGTATCTATTTATTGTGGAAGGGTGATTTTTATTTATCTATTTATTTATTTTCCCATTACATCGCAACTATGGAAACATGACAGGGTTTCCAAATACACCAAATGTTGACATGGGGTGCTTTCCAAATCACACAAAAGATGGGGATGGTACATTTTTAACACGTTATTACTGGTCTACAGTCTTTATATAGTTCCTATTATCACTAACGCAAAAAAAATCGGGAAAAGAATGTCTTAATTAAAAGTTGTATTCAGAAATAGTTCATATCAAATTCGACAATTAATGGTCATCAGAGCGTTTGAGGGGATGGGGTAGGGTTGAGCGTAGTATTTACATTGCCCCCGTAATATACTTTCAGGGTCATCGTTACAAATGTGTTTGACCCCTTAGGGCAATGCATTTATATGTTCGATTAATACACAAAAAGATTCCGACATTTTCTAAATTAAACTTTCCACTTTGGCCTGGGAATGAATCGGGGCCATGTTACGATGAGAATTAGGAGCACGTTCTTTACGGTCCGATAACCGTGCAGATCTAGCCATTGTTCGAAAGTTTATTAACAAAATAACGTGTAGGAACCGCAACAATAGGTAGCTCAAGAGTCGATCATAATCGCCACTATTGTACAGACGAGAAGCGTTCCGGAAGAATGGTTTCGAATGGTATATTTGGAGATGAATTCCAAACTGCATTGTGATGCGGACGCGGTAGAATACATAGACAATATAAAAAGCCCAAGGTGTACCGAATGAGGTCGGTTATATATAGATAAAAAAAAATCAGCGTAATGGTTTACACATGAATGATCCCGAACAGTTAATTATATGAAGGAATGTTAATTGCTAATGACTGCAAGAATTCGGTTTTAATACCAAATACATAAATGCTGTTTTTATGTTTTTCGTTTCGTTGAACATATCGGTTAGGTAAACAGGTCAGTGTTACCGTGACGAAAACTAACTGTGTTGACTGTATTACAGCTAGTATACCCGAGTTACCTTGTAGAGTTACCGAGCATTGTAAAACGTCGTGACACTAATGTATTACAGCTAGTATACCCGAGTTACCGAGTATTGTAAAAACGTCGTGACACTAATGTATTACAGCTAGTATACAAGAGTTACCTTGTAGAGTTACCGAGCATTGTAAAACGTCGTGACACTAATGTATTACAGCTAGTATACACGAGTTACCTTGTAGAGTTACCGAGTATTGTAAAACGTCGTGACACTAATGTTATACATCAGCGCTGACGACGTAAATCCTTCGATACTATCATGACGTAACAGCATTTTTTTAACATACTTTGTAGTGTTTTCTTTAGCTTATTGTTTAGTTTATTTTTAGCTTTACCCTGCAGGTAGGGCGTAAGAATTGTACCTGCTGCCCCCAACTGCATGATCGTAAGTGGCGACTAAATTTGGGACCTTATCTCTTCTCTCCTTTCGAAATAACTTTCTTTTTCCTAATGTCTCCCTTGGCAGTGCCTCACTTTTGGCCATTTGTTGAGCGTTCGCCCATGTGAGGAAGGCTTTGGGTTCTGTCCCCTGGCCGAGACATACCAAAGTCTTTAAAAATGGTAGTTTCTACTCCTGCTTAACGCTCAGCAAATTAGGAGTGGGACGACTGGTTCACCCGTTGTCAGTATAATGTGACCGGGTGAGGCGTCCTGCTGGGTGTCTTCGGCAATATGTCTCAGTGAGGTAGCACTATAAAGTCGGCATCAGTTCCGCGCTACCACAAGGAGACAAACACGAACATATCGCAGCCTCCCAAAATACACACACATTCACTACACGCATGCATCTTGCACACAGGGGAGGCCGTCCTTAAATGACCTTAGCTGTTAATAGGACGTTAAACAAAATCAAACAAACAAACAAACAAAAATTGTTCTTCCTTACCTAGACTTTTATTATATTTTTCCCTCTCAGAACATCAGCACTTGCATTTCATTTTGTTTCCCAAAACGTATACATAATCTATTTTAGTATTTTATTTACATTTGTTACAAAAATACATGTGTGTATTCTAAAATGAGTTGTAGCACTTTTTGTAGCAGTTGTCATATTTCATGAGTTACGAGTCTCCTTCGTAAAAGAGTTTTTGTAAAAGTCTTTTATGAATCGTAGTATGAATATTTGCATTTTTCTATCATGAAAAATAAAGGATACACAAAGAGGACGCATTTCAAAATATTGTGTGCAGTTCAAATAATCCAAAAGGGAGATAACTCTAGCTCAAATAATAGATACGTGTTAGGATGCATACTCCTTAGTATAATCAGTATGGTTTTCTTACCGTTTCGTTGTTTTCGTCGACAGAATCCGTTGAATGAGCATCCACGTTCGAGAGGAAGTTGAGGAGGGCAAAAAGTGTGTCTCTGTTTGGAAGCGGAAGTAGATAGACTAGATATTTTAGGGACAAAATCTGCTCCTCAACGGCCGACAGACCTACAACAGGAACGAAACACATCATTGCATGCATCAATAGTGCAGTGGGAAAAAAAGGAAACAAAAAAGTATTTTCCGGGCCAACTTTCTAAAACCAGAACTTGTATATGAGAATGAACACAGTACAAATCTATTTATTTTTTAGTTTAATATATGATAAAAATATTGAAAAAACACAACATGTAAAACAGACTAATAGAAACAAAATGCATGGCGCTTACTGAGAAGATACCGAGACGATTCAACTAAGTCACGTCTGTCCCTTTGTGTCTGGAAAAGGTTCAATCTAATTAAAATTCAAGCTGTATTTCCGCTTCGTCTAATTTTAATTAGATTGGAAAAGTTTGAACATATCTCATGATTGATATCGCCACAATGACAAAGTTATATATCAATATGCTTTAATATGGTGTAAATAATTTATATTTATGGAAATATATCATAAATAAGCAGTCGATTGTTGGTTAAGTACATTTATTTAAGGAACATTGTGCATATTGCAAATGCACTATAAACGCGATTAGGCCTTGGGCTGTCTTGAGGCTGTCACCGATTATGATAGCATTATAATTTCTTGTGGTTTGGATTTTCCACCTTTGCATGCAGCAAACCTAATCCTGCATTTATTAACGTATATAATCTGGTATCTGTAAGATATGGGCCTAAGATTTGACAACTATTAAATAGTTGACTTAAGACTGATCCTACTTTCTGGGCGGAGATCTACAAAAGTAGGTTTTCAGGCTAATCACAACCTACACAGTCCTGCTTAATCCTGCAAAACCGGTATATTTTTACCACACACGACAAAAAACGACACTGAAATTGTGACAGAACCAAGATTGGTTTAGCTATTCACAGCCAAACATATATCCGAGATGTAATTTTTGGTAATATAATATGTTAAATGCAGCGTGTGCGACGGATATATAATGTGAGTTGTTTAAGATGACCTACTTTGGTCGCCACCCCGGGGATAGACTTAACCTCATGTGTTTGAATAGCACGGCCGCTTCGTTTTACTATTAATTACACATTCAAAACTGTGTCGCGTGTAAAACTGATTTACACACAAGAAACTTCAGCCGTTTACCAGAATTGTACAATTGACCAGAACATTTATAATAAATAATGAGTAAAATCGCATTACATATGCTTGTTTACTGTGTCTTAGATTTGTTAAAGAATTTTGGAAATATACAGGATTTTTTTATGAAACTTACGAGGCAAACTAATAGAATTTTAGCAAAAGATACATGCTGAAAGTTCGGTTCAGTTGATGTTTATTACAAATATTATAATATCAGTTTTACTTACGTCTGGTTGCAACGAGAGCTGAGTATAAGTCACGTGTGAGAAGCGGTTCCGGTAAATCCCGGAAGTACTCTTTGAGCAGCGCCCCTACATCGTGCGGGTTATGCGATTCGTTTAACTTAACATCTTTTCCGCTATCGAATTCTTCTCGAAGCTGCAACAAAGAAAATTGTATTGATTTATCGGAAAATTGAAAAAGAACACAAGTCTGCAAAATTGTTATAATTAAAACAATTTTCGCAATAGCAATGTAACATTTGGACATATTTCATCTGCTGAAAAACATATGTACAATACCATTTCATAAGGAAACTATAAACAGCAAGACAGATCCTTATTAAATCTAGAAGTTACAATAAAATGGTTTTATGAAAATTAAACGGGTCACTAGTTTTATAAAGGCGATTTTGGTGTTGTTTATTATACACTTATATGACTAATTACATGGCGCAAACAGATAAAATGTGTTTTCATGTGAAAACTCATTTCACGAAATTCAATATAGTTGTGAATTGAATTCTTTTATGTCAATCTGACCTACATATTGGTCCAGTATTAAAACGAAAACTGTTGACAGTTTTACTACATCTGAAATACTCCGTAATAATCACAAACATCGGAAGGAGAATATTTAGAATATTTGTATAAATTCTACACACCTGTTTGACTCGTTTCTTCGATGATCCCACTCTAAAAATTCCTAAAACCCGTAACCCTGCAAAATTACAAAAAGCAAATGTCAAAATAAAGATAGTGATAAAAAAACACAAACACAAAACGAAAGGAAAGTACAATAATACCATAAGCACACAATTGTCTGTGTGTCACCGCACACGTGACAATAATAACACATGTTGGAAAGGGACTGCCACGCCCCCTCAAATGTAACGTAGCCCATCTGATAGCACAAGGGGGCCATAAACATACACTCGACGACAAACCCGTATTATCACTCCGCCGTAAGTACCCTACTCCGCCTTAACTACCCTACTACGACTTTCATTTCAAGTTTGACGACCTTTTCCAAATAAACGGGTTATTTTCCTATTTTTGACTTTGACGACATTTTATCACGGGGAACGCCCACTAAGAGGTGACTTTATATTGAGTTACTTTTTTTTTAGTGCTAGGGGACGTTGGAGTAAGACATCGTTTAGGTAAATATTTATATCTTAAAGGAACTCTATTTGTATATTTTGTAGAATTATAGAAAAATATCTTTGGACACGCTCATTTCAAATTTGGTAAAATAATAGGCCTAAATGTACATGTAATTTAATTTGAAAACATAAATTTTAATTTTATAATTATTGTCTTGGAATTAGATACTTTTTTTAGTTCAATTAGTTTATATCATTCGGTTTTCCTTCATTTGTTTCTTCCTGAGTCTGTGTAATTTAACCCTGCATGCGATTTGGAGGAGTACGCCTGCTGTGTCCCATTGCACGTAGGTGTACATAATATATGTAACAGGCGACTAATGTGGAGGCCCCAGGAGAATCGGAAGGTGTCTGCTGTATCTTCTACTTAGGGAACATTGAGGAAACCACAAACAACAATAACTATTACAAATACTAAACAAAACTGACAGATGACTTACCATACGTTTCTATATGTTTAAAACACGTGTTAACAATTTGTGGCACTTGTGGTGAACCGGAAGTGTATTCGGTGTGTTCCGTGGGTAGACTCCCTTGTCGCGACGTGGACAGCGACAAAGCGTCCAGAAGACTAGAATTATTGGTGTTCCGGCTACAGTCGGATTCAGACAGGGAATCGGAACTTGGCGCCCTCTGTTGGACAAAAAAAACCCACACCAATAAACATTTACTGATTTTTATACTGAGTTGGAAACAAAAGCTTACACATTGTTTAACCGTATTTCTGAGCATTCCTAGAATAAAGAGACAGGTCTTTTTCTGGAGCAAGCTGAAATGGCGCGTTTTTGAAACAACTATTGCTTTGATTTGTACATATTTAATATGTAATGATTTGGTGATAGTTTAGGTTCTCTGCAAAACTTAAATTTAAGAATCTAAAATTCCAAGTCCCTTTTCACATTTTCTGATGTTTTAGGGTATTAGGGTCAAACTTTGAAAAAAGCCTCTTTACAGCGTTACACAGACTGTGGATCAATACGTACTCTGTTTACAGCCGGCGATAAACTTGACGTTCCATTTTCCGCTAGATTGTCCAGGGAATCGTGGGAAGAACTGCTGGATTTTCTGAAAAATAAAAAACATACAAAAAATTACTTATAAACTTCAAAAAAACTGTTTACATTGTTATTTAAAGAACCTGTACAAGCTGAATTCCACAGTAACAATCTCTGGAAGTGTGGGCTAACTATGTGGTCAAATTCTCTCTACCACAATCAAATATTTTCCAATTGGAAACCTAATTTGTTTTCATGAACAACTTTGGAATAACGATCATCATATATAATGTTGCCATCGGCTATATCATGGATTCGGTTGTAAAATATATTTGTGTAACAATATTTGTGTAACAATATATTTTCCGGTTGATTTCAGTATAATTTCCATCGTCGAAAAAGGAGTAAATGACATTATTCTTAATTTGTGTGTTGTTTGTTTAATGATTGTACCCACCTTGGCCCCCGCCGGTGTAGAATGACGTCGTCAGAACGGTCTTTTAAGGAAGCTGCACTCTTACGTTTCAGGAGTTCGGCATCGTTGGCTATACATTTAGCTAGATGGATACCAAACACCATCCCCGAGGACCCGTTGTCTGTAACAGCATACAGTAACGTTATATTTCAGGTCAAGCACAAATACGTCATCATCAACAGCAACAACAATCTATATGTTTTGAAACCATGACACGACCCCCCTCGTTGATCAACTCGCTTACTTTCATCATATTTTAGGTCCACTTTGCTGCCATTTCTTCTTACAATGTTCTAATATGTCTCCCTCGAGACGGCCAAAATTTGTCATATCTCCAGCAATTTAGTGGACAAACGGTTTTAAAATAACACATACAAGTGTTTGAATAACACGGTGATTTGTCCTACCTTGACTATGGTCATTGTCCTTGTCCTTGTCCTTGACCTTGTCGATTAAGGCACTGAGGTTCGCCGAGCGAGCTCTCCGCGCCTTGGCGAAGGATAACGTTGGCCGTTTGGACCGCCGGGTTTCCGTAGGTTCTGGAAATAGAGTTTTTTATATGTATTTCGGGCGTTAATTTCATACATAATGCAAGTACTTAAACGTGTGTTGAAATTTAATTATAATAGGTACAACCTATGCGATTTTTTCAATGAATGTTGATTCTAAAATGTTAAGCAGGCGATTTCATCTGATGACAAATACACTGTGGTGTACGTCACGCCATTGTTGTTGTTATCGTCATGACACGTTCACGTCATCAATTATTTTCCTAGTCATTCAGCAAGAAGCATTTGTGTCACCTTCTCGATGATTACAGTGATGCATTGACTTATAAATATTTTTATATAAATATGTGTGTAACATAAATGTTTAAGCCCGACTCCATTCCTTCCTGACTTAGTATCCGTGTCATCGATAAAAAAACACCCCGGGGCTGTCCCGGCACAGACTCCGAGACGACGGTATACAAACTCCCAGGGGACATAATCCATCATCGACGTCATCACGCCGTTTAGTGTCACCAACACCTTATAGACACATAAACTGCTAGCCCGGGGCCCCGGGGTACACAATACACATACCGATCCATGTTCTCAAGGAGACACAATACACAGCCAGGCCTAGAATATCAGGGATACACATTACACCCCGTGGTATCAGGATACACTTGTAGTAAACAATATCTGGCCCGGGGGCTCGGGTTCAAAATATACAATTACAGCCGCACGAGACACAAAATACACACAATGCCCGGAGGATTCCGGACGGGATATACAATATCATTTACAATATAATATAAGGTGGGGCTGGGTTGTGGTCGAATATAAGTCACACGTGTTAGATTTCACCTGGGTTGTTTTCTTATAAATAATATTTATTTTGTTTGACTCACATTTCGCTTCCTCTCCCTAAAAACGTTTACAATCTCAAACCCCAGGATGCTATTTAATAATTGAACTAAATGCCAAATTACATCTTCGAATTCTATCAATTAGTTTTAAAAGTTATACCAAAGAAAAGCACTCTTTATAGTTTTTTAAACACTTACTGTTACATTGTCACATACATCAAACTTACTTCCTTATTCAACAAAACAGATAAACGTAAGAAATATGTCGCCAAATTGTTCATACATTATTATATACTATTCATTTATTCACATTTTCATCATTAGTATTTGATTAAAAAAGGCGTTGGAATGCGATTTGTATACGCTGTACCACATACGGAATATGCAGTTTCTTGATGATGTATCATCTATCATTAAACGACACTCAGGCGTCAAGTTTTGCTGTGTGTGGGGTTTTTTCGGCAAAAAGAACGATTGAACTTAAAAATAAAAATAGCAGTTGTAACTTACACCCTGTCATCCTTACACTCAAAGTTATGAACCTGACATACGTCAACAACAGAAGTGATGTATATTTCACGTCCCTGTCAATAACAATGTCGGTTTCTGCGCCACACTCGCGAATTCCGTGATCCGTGACCTGAAGATATTTGTCAATTAGATCACGACCGCAAGAATTTTGAGGTATGGAGAAAATGTGTGTCTCAACCACATGTCGATATGTGTATGTAAATGACGATTAGGTGAGACGGATGTACCTATATGTTTTTATCTACCTATTTCTAGATCGTGCGTATTTAGCCTATATCGGTCGAAAACGACAAAAAATCGTCTTATTTTGTTAATCGTTTTGCCATGTTGTCAATGATTCGAAATTGAACTGGTGACTTAAAGTACGCCTAATCACAAGAACCAATAAAATACCTGCAGTAAAATATACATTGAAAATACGAATACTGTTAAAAATGTTCTTTTTTATGAATGACGTTCCTGTGCATTAATTATCAAATGGAGAGAAAAAAAATCATAGACGGAAACAGAGTGGAAGGTTTTTTAATTTGTTCATTTGAAAGTAATATAATTAAGGGTTTGGTCCGTAATGGGATACACTTAATGTTGATAAGTATGTTTTTGTGGTTTAATACGGTAGCAGCCTAGCAATCCGACTGTAATCATATACCGCTGTATATATCATTGAAGCCGTGTCGAATATCCGTGCATTTATTTATATAAACAAATTAATATCGAAATGTATAAATATCGATCGGGTCTCATATTTCCCGTTACTTTTCTCTCTCTTTCATATCACTTTGAGCCTATTTTAATATCTTTATATCAGCTTATTACTCAATATCATTGATGAATAATTTCTGCAGTAAATACCTCATATCTGTCTGCTATAAAATCGACACGAGACCTTACACCTTTTCATCTCCACCTTAATTACACTTGTCACGTGATTATACAGGCGATAGGAGGTATTTAGGAGCGATAACATCGCTATAAATGTGTTCACACGGTAAAATTATTGACATATGTTACGTTGACGTTATGAAATAGGAAAGTCTATATATTCGAATTTACATGCATAATAGTGTGGCATTACCGTTCCGAAATTAATCTGCTATGTAAAAAAATCGCCAACACCGTTGAAAAACATTATAATCACATTTGTAGATCCTATAAATAGCTTATTCCAACAGTATTATTCACACATACTTAGTCCGAGAGTATTACTAGTCGAGCAGTCACTTACTAGTATGAACGCCAAAAACATTTTAGACTGACAAATCCAGTTCAGAACCATCAAAATCATTTGCCAAAAAAAAATAGTACAGTGGAACACCTTTTTGTGGCGTATGGTTCTTAGCTGTTGAAACCATTACATTTATTTTATAAATGTGAAGTATGGTTCTTAGCTGTTGAAACCATTACAGTTATTTTATAAATGTGAAGTATGGTGCTTAGCTGTTGAAACCATTACAGTTATTTTATAAATGTGAAGTGTGGTTCTTAGCTGTTTAAACCATTACAGTTATTTTATAAATGTGAAGTATGGTTCTTAGCTGTTGAAACCATTACAGTTTTTGTTTATACATGTGAAGTATGGTTCTTAGCTGTTTAAACCATTACAGTGTTTTTATAAATGTGAAATATGATTCTTAGCTGTTGAAACCATAAGTTGCTTTTTTTTTTATAAAGGTGGAGTATGGTTCTTAGCTTTTGAAACCATTACAGTGTTTTTGTAAATGTGAAGTATGGTTCTTAGATGGATTTAATTTAAATGTCATATTTTGTAAATTGTAGTGTATGAATCTTAGCCATGGACACCGTTTCCGTGAATTGGTCCGTTATGGTATATAAGGTGTGGACACCATTCTGGTGTTTTTGTTAATGTCAGGGATGGTTCTTAGCTAGTAGGTATATAAATCGCATTACATAACACTGAAGGTTGTTCTGACTTGACCCTGTAAAAACAATTTAAGAGCTTAGAACCGACATTCCAGCTCCCAATCCTACTTAGTAAGTATCGCACACCCCACAGAACGTGGACTGTGGACTTATTAAAGACTTAAGCCACTTCTGGTCTCTTAAACGTGGGACTTATGTCCACTTCCGGTCACTAACACCCCTTATACCATAAACACCCTGTCCGTGTATCCTGGAGTGTGTACCGTGTCAACACACTCGTCAAGGTACTCCACACCAATTTTATGTACAAGCTTCAGAGTCGAGTAGGCTACGTTTCCGTATTACCGGGACCTGGAGTAACGGAGCACGGATTCATTGATCACACGAAGCTCGGCTACATGACGGCATCTTATACCGGCATTTTAAATTAGATTATAGGATGTTAAAAAATTGTTGAATATAAAATTGCAAGTCCCACAAAAATGTTTGCATTGCTAGTTAGTATGCATGTTATTCTGATGAAAGTAAAATCATAATTAAATTTATATAAATGGAAATAATTCTAAAACAAATCTAAGATTTAATATGTAAAGTAATATAACATACATCCTTAATTCAAATTAGAAAAAAATGAAAATAAAACCGGTCGATTTATATATGAAATCACACTTTTTTCATGGAACAAATATTATTTCATAAAAGAAAACCAAACGTTTTAATAGAAAAGTTTTGATTGATCTACGGTAACATTTTCGTTGAATGTCGATAGAATTTTTAGGAGATTTACGAGGGCATTGGCTGTTAACAGAAAAGTACATCCCTTGATGCTCGAGGTCAATTAACCCTGATCCATGACGAACATCTATCATATATCCCATTAAAGAGTAAATTCGTGAGAAATATTAACACTCTTCTATACAATTAAAGGGTCGTTATGATATACACCAAGGGGGGTTTTAATCCACAAAACGCTGACTAGAACAAGACCTTTTACAACGTGTTTTACCTCTTGGTTATTATACCGCAGGGGAGTTTTGTTAACATTAATCTGACACGTGTAGAAGTTGAAATGTAATGAACACCGTGACTTTTGTTAAGCTTGAATACACTTTTATTTACAAACAGATAAGTCAACCATCCCTTATTTTGTCTGTCTGTTTGTTTGTTTGTGGTTTAATTTGTGGTATAGATTTGAAAAGCAAGCCATATTCGGTTGATATTCAAAACCCACGGATCATTGAAAAGTCAATCGGAACTCCTGGAATAACGATTAATGGGGAGATTAAAAGTGTATTTATCATGGCCGACAAAACTAGATATAAACGCCATTTACGTCTATACGCTAAAATCGTTGACCGTTCGAGTGTCTGTCCGCACCTGTTGTGAGCCTGAAGTCCATAAACAATCATCTATCTGCCTTCCAAATCAGCCATATGTCATTGTTCACAACCCTTTACATGTAAAAGTAAAGAGACAACGGGGTTTAACATGTTATTGTAAACAATGGTCCTCATAAAATGAAATGGCGACTTAAAGCGCGATCAAAATACTGGAGATTTTCAAAACCATGAGCTGTACAGTATGTGATCACAAGGACCGGAAACATGGCCGTCAGATCATAGGATGATGTTAGCGTTCCCTGAAAGGACAAGAAACATGTAAGCGTTCCTAGAGAGGACAAGGAACATGTTAGCGTTCCTAGAGAGGACAAGGAACATGTAAGCGGTCCGTGGGAAGACAAGGAACATGTTAGCGTTCCGTGGGAAGACAAGGAACATGTTAGCATTCCTAGAGAGGACAAGGAACATGTTAGCGTTCCGTGGGAAGACAAGGAACATGTAAGCGTTCAGTGGGAAGACAAGGAGCATGTAAGCGTTCCATGGGAAGACAAGGAGCATGTAAGCGTTCCGTGGGAAGCCAAGGAACGTATAAAGTAGCGTTTTCTGGGAGCAAGGAACGTGCAAGCGGTTCATAGATGGTTTAGAATAGGCTAGAATTCCTTAAAAGGCCAAGGAAATGTTATTGTTCCCCTAGAACCTAATTTTGAAGCGTTTCCTAGAAGGCTTCGGTTTAAGATCACGGAAGCCCCCTCGGACTCTGAGGACTTGCTTTTAACGTTCCTTGTCTGATCCTGAAAGGGTCCCAATGAAATAATAACCATCGAGGTCAAGAATCAGCTCTGATGAATTAACATGGTTTAGTTAATGGAAGTGTGGCCAGTCGGTCAGCATTTACACCAGATGACCATCACTGTCCACGGGACAAATGCTATTTTACGTTGACTTGAGTGAGTCACTGGACATTAATTCTGTTGTTTGTCCGATCGTGGCCAGTTTGGAGGGCAGTTATCCAGCCACGAAGTGTAGCTAGTTTTTTGCGTTGTCACTACCGACAAAGAATATATATATGTTCAAAAATACATGCTTAATAAATGTCGCGTGTCCACCGACGCCCAAACACGCGCGCGTGTCGTATAGGTCCCTTTGGGTCACTTAAGTCAACCATATCCAATCTACATTGTGTACTTTCCAGACATAAATAGACCCAGACGGTATATCATAAATAATTTTTTGGAGAAGTAATCTACATATTGGAAAATCCAATATTTCCACTTTTCTATTGTGCTACAGTATAATTTCGATATAACGTCATTCGTTTTACTGACATCTCACCAAGTAAGTCCCTATTCGTTGTAATAACCTTCAATACAATAATTTGTAATCCCCCCTTGATATATGTTTCCCAACACCTAGTTATCACTCTATATTTCTTGTTATAACGCCAGAGTTCGTTAAAGTGACGTCAGTATAACGACCCTAAATATTTACATGTACACTTTATAGTCATTATAATATCAAATATCGAGATCAGATTATTTTTTGACGGGCAAGTTTTAGTTGTGCTCATTTATATAGAATGTTTTCCTCTCCACAGGGACCTGAGAATTTGCTACAGTTGGCAAGTTTGGACTTATGTGTTAGAGTAATATTTGATGTTTTAGAGACTTTCTCGATATGCTAACACCATGATGGTATTCCGTCTTTGCGTATTGCAGAGTTATCTTCTCTTGGGAGCAGGTATTGATTGTTACGTCATTGGTTTGTGCGAAAAAAATACGTCGTTGATGACGTTACTCTCACAAACAAGTGGCGTAACAATCAATACCTGCTCCCAAGAGAAGATAACTCTTCGATACGCAAAGACGGAATATATACTCCTAAGTAACATCATCGAGACTTGATCCAAATCCCTTAAATGTTTAATATTACTCTACACATCAGGATAGACACAGACATATCATCTGTAACGAATTCTCAAGTCCCTGTGTTTCTGTCGTCACAGCTACGGTAATTGAAGACGGATTAGTGTCGTGAATAGCGTAAAATAACCACAGAAAACTAATTTCCTGATTTAATTGAACCTAATCAATGACCAACAGAGTTTTTAACGATCGCGAAGGGCATGCACGACTTGACCATTTGATGACCGGAAAAAAAACTTACCTGAAATAAATTTCCGAGGGAAATACGTGGTTCGGGTCAGTTCACCTAATCAAGCTTCGTGTAAATTATAGATAACGTTTTACACAAAAATCGAGCTAGTTTGGAAGAGTAAAAGGTGGAGGGATACAAACAAAATATGGAGGTCCAGAGGTTTTGAAATGGAAAAATAAATAGTTATTGAAGAAACTTCCAGGCTGTGGGAAGGGAGAAGGATGCTGAAACCGGGATTCCGCTCTGGATCCGCCATCGAGTTACATTTAGATCCTTAAAACCTCTGGCCCTATTTTTACTAAGGATGTGTATCAGAGCACATTGGCTTTATACAATTTGATATTTTATGGTTCAAATTCATCCAGATGCATCGGTGCATGTAGCAATGCGTATCAATTTTTGTTTTATTGGGCAACAGTAAACAATCAATAACCATAAACATCCATCGTTAAACTAGCTTTGAATACGTGTATTAATATCATAGATCCATATCATAATAAAAACTTTATAAAGTGGAACGTTACGGAACGTTTGATGTCAGCAATTTCTTTTCTGTTTTTGAATAAGTCGGTATTGTTATGGAGTAATTCAAACTCCTATTAGAACGATATTAACGGTATCGGGTGGACGAGGGGTTTTATTAACTCCCTCGATGCATGTTTCGGTTCATAAGTATATACACGTTGTCGAGACAGTTGCTTGTAAAGTTTCGTCTTATTTTCGTAAATTGAGCCAATTCGATATACATACTGAAGAAAAAAGTTGTCGCTGTCATGGTTACCACCCCTTTACAAACAACCCGAGTGCGGATTTGTTTACGGTTGTCGCCATCTTTTTGTCTCCCGACAGCATTTTTGTCACTTCGCTCTTGATGACGTGTTCGATAGGATTGTAAGTCTTTGTTTAAGCGTGTCTACTCCTCCTCTCCCGACAAAAAGGTTTTCATCCTTATTTCACAATGAGTTGAAATCTGAGTCTGTGCCCGCGTCACAGTTTGTTGTTGTTGCTATAGCGAACAATGCTGATTTAGTACGAGTCCTATTGAACAGACACACGCCTCTTCAAGGAAATATCTCGTCTTCGGGGTTTTCAGTACAGAAAAAATACACCTTATTCTCTATATAATTTAAAATGATCACCTGATCCTTACTTGGCATCATTTCCGACTTAGCTGTTCCCAATTTCGTGTTGAGAAAGTTTCGAGGATAACTAAAATCTCAGTAACATCTACTTATTTAGGTTCGGGGTCGTGGTGACATCTTAAACCACGACTATCCTTGTTTACAAACGGTTGGGAGTAAATGTTTAATATCTAAATCAGATTCAACAGACCTCAGTGTGACAGTATTGGTTTCATTAGAGTTAAACCTTTGACTACCAATCTACGCTCTCAGAGTGATCCGGCGATTAAATTAACGAATGGCCGACTACAATCTTGGCTGACATAAATATTACTATGGTGACAAAAAATAAATATTCTGAGAATTGAAAATATATTTGTTTACCTTTAGGAATTGTCACGTGACATCCCAATCCCATATCCTGCAGTTTTGAGAGAGCTATTTTCTGCAGTGCAAGCCTTTCCTTTTCTGTCAGTTGGAGTAATGAGGTAGGTTTGAGCACAACCCTGCGCCCACTGACACTGCACCACGTACAGTTTTCCTGGAAAATACGAAAGAACGAAAACTGTAATAAACATCGTTAGTATAATTTATACTGTAATAAACATCGTTAGTATAATTTATACTGTAATAAACATCGTCAGTATAATTTATACTGTAATAAACATCGTCAGTATAATTTATACTGTAATAAACATCGTCAGTATAATTTATACTGTAATAAACATCGTCAGTATAATTTATACTGTAATAAACATCGTCAGTATAATTTATACTGTAATAAACATCGTCAGTATAATTTATACTGTAATAAACATCGTCAGTATAATTTATACTGTAATAAACATCGTCAGTATAATTTATACTGTAATAAACATCGTTAGTATAATTCATGAAACACTCCTCCATACTTTGAGTAATATCAAAGGAAAAGACAGATTTACCTTTAATTTTGATGCCACCTAATGCGTTGTCTTTTTCGTGTGCTTACTTGATGTGTAGCTTTTCCGGTGTTGTTTACATTTTGGTGTGTTTTTGTACAAACTCCCGTTAACAAACCTTGCACCACTGTACATTGCGTACAATCTTTGCATATCTGTGATCTTGTGTGCATATGTGTGTGACCTCGCCCTGGTGTTCAAACAAGGTCAAGGAATAGCAGTAGTATAAACTTGATATTCGTTGTGTGTTGATGCTGTAAGAGGCAAATCGCCGACAGCATCTGTGCCTGCTGACCGGAACTAATTATTGACTAAGGTCAAGACCCAAGGACTGACCAGTGGTTCAAGGCCAAGACCAAGGACATAAACCAGTGTACTTAACAACTAATATGTATTTCAAAGTCAAAACATAAGTTCATTTTCAAGTGACCAGTTGCCAAGAGTATGCCTGAAGCCCTGCTCAGACAATGAACGAGTTTATTATATATTTCGCCCCATATCTGTATGTCAATGAACCCGGAACCGGGAGAAATCAAAGAGATAGATGTACATGTTCAAACAACGCAGGAAAAAAAACAATGCTTAAACGATTTAGTTAATAGGTACTTTGATTAAAACCTTCACGCCGAACGATACATGGCTAGTGAAATATCGCCACGTCGTACGTGTGGCGAAATGTGTTAGGGTTTAGGTAGTGACGCGTTCCACTCGAGTGACGACAAGGGGTTATGTGTCAGAATCCATGTTAACAGCACGCGGAGCGATTTGTTCGCCTGTTAACGCGTTGTGTAATCATAAAAAGGCAATAAAAATGAGGCGTCTTCTCCATTCAGTAAGTGATACGCCGACTAATTTGGGGACTTTGAGAAAGTCAATTAAGGTGACGGAGCGACGAATATAGAATATTACAAGTGGTCCTATCATCTCGAACATAATTCACCGAATGTTGAATACGAAATTATGTAAATGGTAAAATACATCAAAGACGAAGCCTTCACGACTGTCATGTCGTGGTACAAAGGTTTTGATCATTGGCCGTCTATATTTAGTCAGACATCTAGCCGTATACGACTGTGACCAGTTTTCAATCCGTAAAGATCATAATACAATATCGATTTTAACGTATTTTTTATTTAAGAGTCCCTGTCCCGTTGCAGGCTAAAGATTAAATAACTCAATCGTCATTTTTCGTACATAGTGCTACTTGTAGTGCGACCCTGGTCAGGGTATACTTGTTCACCACGTAGCCCAGTTGGTAAGAGGAACAGTATAATGATCTGAGGTCCAGGGTTCAAACCCTGGTCTGGCCCGATGCATTTTCACGAACCAAATAACACCTGATGTTGATTTTCTGATTTTTTATCATTAATTTTTTTCCATACACTTTCTGCAAGGTATGGTTTTCTTTTAAGAAATGATTTGTCAAATCTATAGTAACCCAGTGACAAAAATAGTATCTCATTCTTAGTGACAGCTTTTGGCAGTGGTAAGGGGATACTTGATAGGTTCAGAGCATTGGTTGAGGGATGGGTTTGTTTTAGTTCGAAAGACATTTTCTCGGTAGGAACATTTAAAGTACAATGTATTACAGAAGCGCTGTCTATTTTAAAGGTAGCAACTTTGTTTTATGGTGAAGATGGTGACAAATTTCCCAGAGATTGTTTTCGAGAGGGGGGAGGGGGAGGTGAATCATATCAATGATCATGACAGATCATAAAAGTGGCGTCTTATTCAAATGAAAGTCCTTAACCCCCTCAATCTCCCATTCAAACACAGTACTGTGTCTTATCTACCCACAGACCGAAACTCTATAAAATAACACTAACTACCAAAATTTCGAAATTTCTCACATAAAATTATACGGCCGTGTGCATGCATCATTTGTGAATATGTTGGGTTTTTTCCTCAACAACATAAGTGAGATCTAGTGACGGTTCGTGGGAAAATTTCTGAATTTGTAACAGTGTATCACCTTGGGGCTGATAGAAAAGATAATGAGAACAGGTAAACTAATCAATATTTACCTGTAGGAGAGATAACAATAGTTTATACCTACATTAATGTATGTACATTTATGACCTCAGATATTTCTATCTTAAGTCGTTGAGAGTGCTTTCCTTGTTTTGAAACAGTACTACTAGTTNGGGGGGGGGGGGGGGGGGGGGGGGGGGGGTACATGCTGTTCTTATTCCCATTAATTATTCTTTTTTCTTCTTCTTTTTTCCCTTCCTGTTATTTTTTTCTGTCAAATGGTTTCCGGACATTTTCCCAAAGACTACGGCCAGATGCTTTTGTAACTCCACTTGAGCAGCGGAGGGCATGTGATGTAGGTAACGCGAATGTCCGCCGTGAAAACATATTGTTGATTTTGACACATTTATAGGTGCACGCTAAGGTGATGCCAATGGTCCCTCTCTACGCATGATTTAGCTCAAACTTAGTATGTAAATGTATTATGAAATTGCAAATTCTAACCAATGCATTATTTGTGACAACAAATACCTTAATAAAAGACCATGTGAACGACTATATAAAATAACTTACTATTGTGTTTACAGTTAATTTGATTTGTTAAGATTTTAAGGTTATACATGTACCTATAAAAAAAAGGACTAACGTCACAATACTGATGACGTAATTCCAACGAATGTTTTGATAGTAATTTTTCATATGACATATGTAGGGTTTACTTTGATTTTTTAAGGTTAGCATATCGATATTTATCAATGACGAAAACGATTCTGTGATAATACAATTTAGATTTTACTCTACTACTTCTTGGTAAGCCTTAATTTCTCGGTAGATTGTAGAACGCCTCACATTGTGTAAACATCAACGGACGGCGTGGGAGATGAAATAGGAGAATCTGCCGGAAGGCGGGTTTAGCAGTGATGGCAGAGGATAAACTTCTAAAGAAAACAACCTTCGTGTTTTCATTCCGACATTTTAATCAATCAATTGTGTTGTATTCCATTCAGAAGCATTAACATTTCAAAATGTACCACCACTGGCGATCCAAATTTAGGACAAAATCGACATGAAATATTCACAGATTTATTTCTCATGGAGCGTGATTTTATGTTTTCATCTATAACAATTGAGGAATATTCTTTGAAAAAACATTGATTTTATATCAGTTGTGAAATAATTTTCATTCCGAGTAAATATTTGTTCTATACGTTCGAGGATTGGCGCTGTACGCGTGTTAAGATAAGTATATGTAAGAGCCATTCTGTTTAAATCCATGGTGTAGGGCTCCAAGATAATCCCTTAAGTAAAGTTGTATAGGAGGATTTAATGAACACGCCTTCACATTGAAGAGTTCTGCTTTCATGCATTGTATTATCAACGCTTGTATTACATGGAGATTTTTTGAAGGCTTCCTTTTTTCTTTAAATGGCTGACAAGCGATAAGTCAAACTTGTTAACCCATTCAATAGAGCGCTCCCTTTGTCCTTTGTTTGTTAAAAGGTTTGTAAAATAGACTTTATCTAGTTGATTTTCTGAACTTAATTTCTCCGTGGAAAAACGTCCCCACAAATACAAAACGGTATTGTAATGATGTTAGCGATGTGTATTTCATACTCCATTTCCATCCGCTCAAAGACTTTTAAATAGTTTGACTTTGGATTTAAATCAGTTCTAGCCTAATTCGGATAATAATTGGAGGTAATCGGACCCCGTAATTTGAATTTAACGACTGCTTTAATGAAGCTTATGACTCACCGATGGATTCTTGTCCCAAATATAAATACTTACGTACGCTTATGACAATATATACCGACCTCGGTGACAAATCCACTCCAATCTAACTACTACAGACTTTCAATAAAATAATGTTCTTTTTGTAACAAGCTTGTGCCAAAATTTTACAGCAGAATCAAATAAAAACTGGTGATTATCTCTTTAAAAGAATCACAACTTTAATTGAGAGGGGAAAAAAGAACAGAAAACGGCTTTTATTTAGAAGACTTGCTAGAGAGCATTGGGAAGAAAATATCATTTCGTTTCATACATGTATTCAGTTTTTTTCATTTAAAATATAATTTATATAGAAAAGACTTTAACAGGTCAATCATGAAAAATATTATATATATCTGAAAGCGAAAACCAATTTCAATTTTCATTATATATTAGGACCTGACATCCGGCTAATGTACCGGTTCAGTTGAAGTTTTGATCTACACGAACGATTTGTCCTGAAAGTACACGGCACCCCATACATCAGGAACATAACATCTCCTATCCCTCTGTGGTATATAAAAAAGAAAATTCATCCTACATTCATGGAATAGTTGGGCAATGGGTATAAATTTGTCTGTCTGATCGGCCCTTCGTGACACCAACCCTTGGTTAGAAATTGTCAGTGTTGGCATTAGTAAAAATGTTTCAGCTATTACCAATAAGTGATGAATCTGTAACTAGCATTAACATGGCTTGTTTATGAAATCTTCGTACGATCGAGAGAGGGTTTTGAAGTATAGTGCAGGTAGATATTTGTATAGGTTACTCTGTAGATTGGGCACCTCGTAAATCTGAATACCTTCCTTAAGTGTGGCATCAGGCGTCATCATTGAAACAGTGTCATTCAGATAGTAAA